GGTGGCAATGCAGTGGGCAGCTTCGACCGTCCCGATCGTCGAGAAGGCCCAGCACGACCCGCACGACCCCTGGTTGGCAATGGGGGGGTTGCACTTGGAGGTTGACCAGTCGGCGTCGGACGCACGGACGATTTCAGTCTCCGGCAGCGGGATGGCGCTGGTGAAGTTGCGCCCTCCAAACGACCTCATCAACATGCCCTTGAACTCGTCGTCGGTCAAGAGGGCAAACTGGTTGAACGGACTGAACTCGGCGTCTGGGTTGGCCGCCGCGGCTTCTTGGGCGTCTTGGACGGTGTTGTGGAATCGCTGGAGCTCCTCGACCGAGTAGCCGTTGCTGTCGACAGACTCTGTGTTGAGTTGTGGGAGAAACCCGTTGGCTTTGGCGATGGGGCCGTAGAGTGTCTTCCACTTGGCGAGTTGTTGCTGGAGGGTCGCTTGATCTGCAGCGCTGAGCGAGCCGACGGCCTGTCGCGCGGCCAACGCGGTTGACGCAAGCCATGTACAGAAAATGAAGCACGCCTTCATGGTGGTTTGAATGTGGCAAATTGAACTGTGTTGGCGACACGTTCGACTATACCCGATTCCACCACACACGTTCGTTATTCCACGTGTAAAAGCAAGGCATTCACATCATCGAGTCCAATTGGCCACGGCATGCTATATCCATCCATGTCTTGAATTCGCAGCATCTCTTCGCACGCGTCGGTGCCGTTGCCCTGCTCAGCTGGCCTTGCTCGCAAGGTTGGTCTCATCGACGAGGTGCGCGGCGCTAGCAAGATCCTAGCGGGTGCTCTCCAGTTTGCCGAGCGTGAGCGATGCTGTGTCATGAGGTACAATTGACTTCGTAGTTGAGGTGATGTATTCAATCGTTCGGGTGTTTGAGAAAAACATGCAAACGTCACACACAAGCACAAGAGCGCATTTGCCCGAAAAGTACACGTTATTATTAAAGCTCACTGATGGGCTGATTTGAGAACTACTTACCCAATTTGAACGTTAGTATACCTGGAGCCGTCCTCCTACAGCGCGCTCAACGACACTTCTGCACTGCACGGGTCAGCTCCTACGTGCATTGTGGGTCTTGGAGAAACATTTTCTGTCGTTGTTTGAATTATGTACCTCTTGGGACGATTAGGGCTTGGTCAAATTGAACGGCAAAGAGCTGTTGCATGAAGCACTTGCCGGCTGGTCGCGCTCTCACACCGAAAGCACAAGAGCATGTGGTCTGGTGGCATGTGATGATAGTCGTCCGCTTGTCATTCGCGAGCGACTGGTGAGAAATTGGATGCGACGTTTTGGTATCGAAAGCAGCGGCGCCACGTGTTTCAGTGTAAAAGCTGTGCATTGAACATTATTACCACGTGGACGATTCGACTTGATAGTGATCGAACTCTGCTCTCGAACACGCTTTGATCAGAAACGTCGCGTGCGACAAATCGTTGTCGACGTCGAACGTGCGTCAACGGTGGTGACGTTCGCATTTATATATTCGACTTTCCTTAACTGGAAATGAGATCGACTTTCCCTAACTGGACATGAGATCGCCGCATTCGCTCGGAAATGATCGAGAGTTGTGCGCGTTTGTCGGGGGGGTAAACAATGCTGCAAAACGTCGTCACTTCAACCGTCAAGCGTTCGCTCTTGGTGCCAGGTCGAAGGAACTACCGTGAAGCGTATATAGTTTTAGACATCCTTTTAGTTTTAGACACCCCAGAAGGTTATTGAATACT